ATATATATATATATATATCTCGGTCAGCTAGTGACTAGGGAGTGTAAATAAAAACCAAAACCAAAAACAGCAGTAGTGACCGGAACCAGTTTTGTTACATGCAGCCGTTCAGGAGGAGCGCCAGCGAGCCAAGGAGAGAAGCGAGAACGAGGTGGAGTCCACCAGCTGCGCCAACGAGGACATGCCCGTGGAGAAGATTCTGGAGGCCGAGCAGGCGGTGGAACCCAAAAACGAGACCTACATCGAGACCAACCTTGGTGTGCCATCCAATTCGGTGAGTTGCCGTTTTCACGCATTCTTTTTTCAAACAATCGCATGCCGTGTCATTCTGCAACAAGTCATCACGTTGTGTTGGAACCAGTGGACATGCAGCACACACCCTACTTGTTCTCTCTTGTAGAGGTGGGAAATTGAACAGTTTTCCTCTCATATGTGTTATTGACTTAATGGGGGCAGATTCTGTGTTTGTTGCAGTTCGTATGAAAAAAAGTTAATGCATTATTAAGTACTAATACTTAATGATACAAGACTTCAAACTGTAACTGTGTCCAACTCTACCGTCAGTAAACTCACAGAGGAGAAAGCAAAATATTTTTTCAGATTTATGGCTCATGGCTTATACTTTATTTTCTGCTTTCCAAAATCTTCTTGGAGCTGTGCCTCCATTGTCCACATTTAGTTGTATCTTTCCAGCTGCATGTAGCTCATACAGTATACCTAATTTTTGCATTGAATTGCGGAGTCGAGGCACAGCACACTTTAAAATGTGTCTGCATCATGGACTGTATGTAAGAGGTGGATGTAGTCAGCCGTGACGTCACCCATTATTTTGTGGACTACGATTTGGAAGCCTCGAGTTTGACATCTTGTCCGTCGCCATCTTGCTTTGTTGTTGTTTTTTTTGCAACCAAAAGTAAGCGACCACAATGTCACAATTAACTTTCATGAACTGAAAACACTGTGAAAGGGTTAAAAAAAAAAAAATGGCCATTAGATAGAATGCACGTTTGAGACACTTCAGCATTGGCTTCACTCTTCAGAACCGAAAGGTTGCCGCCTGGTCTGCGTGCTGACAGCATAGCACATATTTACTTTTGTTATTTTGAAGTGCAAACATAGTGCTCCTCGTGTGATTAGAGTTGCCATGCTGATTGGAAATGGGGACGTGCCCTTTGAAAAGCATTTTCTCTGTGTCGTGGAGTTCCAGGCTGTCAGTCGGTAAAGATGCTGCCTGCCGGTAAAGATGGGTGTGATTACCGTTCGTCCTCCCTCTTTTAGTCCCTTTGGAGGTGACTGCTTGTAGTCTGGAGCGCTGCTTTACCTGTTCACCTCACATTATCTCCTTCACTCAGCTGTGAGTTCCCCCCCCCCCTCAGTACCGGCTGGGCACTGTGGGCTGTCTTTTAAACAGAGACTAACAGTGATGAATAATGCAACAGGCAGACTGTTCCTGAAAGCATCCCACAAAGCCTCAGCTTCCTCAGGAATTCTGCTGCAACATGAGAAACAGAGGAGCTGCACAGCGGCCTACTAAAGGAGGCAGGGAGGGAGGGGAACAGAGACTTGAGGAGGGAGGAGGAGAGAGAGAGAGGGAGGGCTTCTTCTGGGATTCATCCGCTTCAGGGGATGGAAATGTCCTATGAAGTGAAGGTAGAAATGTGAGGGCTGTTATGTGAGTAAATGGGAGCTATTTTTGGGGAGGGGGAGGGGGGCAGATAGAAATGTAGGAGATGAGCCTTGACATTAGGGAAGGGGAGAAGGAGCGGGGAGTCACGGGGGATCGGCTGGCAGCTCAGACACTCTAATGCACTGAGTGTGTTTTTTGGGCTCAGCCACGGCGGGGTCCCCTCGGTGCCCGCTGCCTGCCTGACACCAGGAAGAGGAGCTTTTCTAAGGAACTACCGAAGAGATGAAAACGGCACTAATATACGGATGTACAGGGCTGAGAATCTTATATTAATACGTGGAAGCAAACCGGAATCACATCACGATATCAACCTGTGAAAAATGGCCAAATTCTTGACTCTGTGCAGGTTATAATTACAGTAGAAACCTAATTTGTAACATTATTTGTGTGTTTTACACATAATATGAATCATTTGGTCCAATGTAATGCAATGAACATAGTTGTCATATGATATATTATATTGCAGTATTGATGTCGGTCATATAAACGCCTTCCTAACGTAATTACGTATTAACACATCATTTGCCAAAGTTGCTGAATATCTCTTTGACACCACTGCTAGGTGGAAAGAAGTTGCCGGCGTTGCCACGCGTCATATAGCCCATACGTCACATGGCTGTCTAGTACAAGGACAGGGGGATTGGGCATTCCAAATGAAAAAAATGAAAAACTGTAAAGAAAGAATAGATTATTTGAAAACTCGGGCAAGTAAAACGCTGCGAGATACGACTATGAGTTTGCAAGAAAATACCACTTTGAGCTGAACCACACTGGAGTCCAGGATGTTGGCAGAGTGTCAGCGGTCAGGCTGTCCTGACCACAAGGACTCCCCTTCTCTCCGAGTCCCACCCCCCCTGTGATCTTCACAGTGGTAGAAGATGTCGCGCTGTGAGATATCCCCATGTGGACTTTTGTACTTAAAACGCAGAGGCCCATGTTATTCCCTCCCAGGCCATGGCGGTGCGCCTCCTTTGCGGCAGCCCCCCCCCATAACACCATTAAATGCCGCTCTGACTTGAACAGTAAGTACAGTAATGCGATGCCGGAAGGATTGTTGCAGGAAAGTGTAAGCTCCTCTCCCCCCTGTCATCTCACTCGGGACAGGAGCAAAGGAAACCAGGTCAGCGCAAACACGGCTAAGATAGCCATTCAACATTCATGAGGCCCGCCGTGTTTAACGAGAACTCTGGGACTTGTGGTCTTAGGAGGGGTTGGCCGGACGCCGAAGCCTCGTTTTCTTTCTTTTTTTAACTTTGTTTTTCAGCTGGGGCCGCTCTTTAGAATGAATTAGCCGAAATCTGTTCATGTGAGGGGGGTTTCGAGAGAGAGAGAGGTGAAACGCAGCTCTCTAAAATCTGTCGCGCCGTCAACACAACGTCCACGTCTCCCACGGAGATCAGACGCTGAAATATTCATAAGATGCCTGTTTTCTTTGTCCCCCCTCCTGAAGAAACAAAACCAAAAAAATAAACGACTTTCATTTTACAAAAACAGTGTCGGCTTTGTGTCTGGTTTTTTTTTCATATGTGCGACTGCTCTGCAGTCAGTGTGAGTTCCACAGCGTGGAGGAGAGGGAGGGATGGTCTTTGGCCTGCGCGAGCGGAGGGACGTCTTCTCCTTCATCTTGAACTAATCTCCTCCGGAGAGCTGCCGTTGATGCGAGAGATCCTCCCAGCTTTTTACCATCGATCTGTGGGATTTGGGCAGAAGGAAGTTTACGGGAGAAGTTGCCGAGTTTGTCGAGTTCACACGGGGATACTTAGAATTTAAGGATGTTTACTTGATTTAAAAAAATTATGCACAAACGCGTGTGCACAGAGTCTTTGTTTACACACATGCACATCATGGGTTTGCGCTCCTGGGATGATGGGAGATTACTCGTCAGAGATTGACAGTATTCAGTTTTTTTGTTTTTTCTACCTCTACCCTGATGAATTTACATTTTAGTCAGTTAGTCCCACTCTACGTGTGTTGTGTTAGTATTCAGCCACTGCTCATAAACTCCCTGTTGGTCTCCCAACCTGATGTGTTGTGACGGTTAAGGACAAGCCGTCCTTGTTCTCTGGCGTTTCAATAGAACACAGAAGTGATGACGTCAACAGGAGCGCTCCTCATGTGCAGCAGCGTAGCTAACATTACGGACACAGAGATCCTAAACTTGTTATTTAGTCCTGGGAATGCTGAGCCTTCTGTCTTACAGTTTGCACATTCAGGATGACGCCAGTATTTTGTAGACTCTCTCTTTAAATTTGACACTTTATTTAGGACAAACAAAAACTCAAATAAACACGAGCTAACTCCGCTTTTAGACTGAAGTGTATGTTCTGCAATCCTGTCTCCAGCTTTTGTTCGCTGGTAAATGTGCGTTTACTTGAATGGGAGCTTTTCGTCAAACGTAGATGTGTGTGTAAAGAGGTCAATTGTTCTGCAATTGAGTTTGCTTTCACAGCAGAAGTAAATGCGCCACAGTCACCCTTGATATAACGCTTACTCGGCACCTAAAGAGAAGAGAGGCTTTTTTCTCTTTTTTTAAAGCATACGCACCATGTCTTACATAACATACATTAATATAATCGTCTTCGGCCTTTCTTCTAGCTTTTATGCCCATCTCTCGTCCAGGCTTAATAGATCTAATGCAGAGAAATCAATGAGGGATTGAAGCTTTCTCCTTGGCTCACCTTTTTATTTCACAGAGGAAATAGTCAGCGGTCCTATTTTAGGCAGAATGTACTGTGACATCCATTAGCCGGACCGGTCCACTACCGAGAATTGCTTGTTTTGATCATTTATCAGAATTCTTTTTTTTTTTTTTTTTATAACCTTAAAAGACAGCAACGGATCTTTTGAAAACGTATTAATAACTGCACCATACCAGGTTATTACATTAGCTACTGATGGATAATGATAGTGGACATCTGTTTCATGTGTATGTTTTACTGTGAGTAAATATGAACACTCATTACACACTATTATTGTCTGAGTTCTCCTAAAGGCCTGATAATAAAGTCCCACTGGAGCTCCTTAGTGCTTGTTATGTTGTGAAGTGTCAGTGGAGTGTCAGGAGGGGCCTCTTGAGCTCCCATCACCCGCCTGAAAACGCTGATTTGTGCGTCAACTAAAAAGGTCCCTGAAGAAAGATCCTGCTTGGTGAAAGTTTTTTCTCTCACCAGCAGCTCTCTGCAGGTATTTCCTCCACAAGCTGTGAAAGAATCACTGTTTGTTTAGTGTTCCCACTTGCTCCTCTTAGGAGGTTATCATTCATAGCATGGTACTGATGTAAGTGTGTGTGTGTGTGTGTGTGTGTGTGTGTGTGTGTGTGTGTGTGTGTGTGTGTTGATAGGTGGCTATTGCCGACACCAGGCTCGCAGCCATATAGAGACAAGAAAACAAACATGTCACACCTTTTCATTTCTGACACTGAGATTTGTGTCTGTTCGTCTGTTTCCCTGCAGCCCAACGACCCGGTGACAAATATCTGTCAGGCGGCTGACAAACAGCTCTTCACCCTGGTGGAGTGGGCCAAGAGGATCCCCCACTTCTCTGAGCTGCCGCTGGACGACCAGGTCATCCTTCTACGAGCAGGTCCGTCAAAAGAAAAGAAAAGGAAAAGGGCTGAAACCGGGTCGTACAAAAGCCAGCCGCTTTATTCCACAATGACCCCTTCAGTCAAGTGTGCAAACTCTGGCAAACGCTCCATGACTACTTGAATCTATTCATTTATTATGTGAACGTAAAGGAAATATCCATCAAGCACAGTGGTGAAAAAAGAATACATGAGTATATATTACTGTTTTCTGAACTGTAACATTTCATCACCTTGTCTTTAAACAAAGATAAAACAACAGTTTAAACTCGGGGCTGCGTATTGGAAAGAATCTTGCTGATATGATACATATCACGATACAGGATTTATGATGCAATATATTGCAATACTGAAAGCTGTCACAATATAAAGAACATGTGCATACAATCTGATTAGCAAGAAGTTGATTTTTTTTCATGCAATCGGAGCAGCGCATCTATTTAACATGCTCGTGTTTTTTTGTGAACGGTGAACCGAATGTATCTGTTTGCAACTAAGTAACTTGAGCGTCGCTAACCGTCTCGAGAGTTAACGGCGCACTGTGTGGCCGACCGCCAGCCCGCCGCCATGTCGGTGCGATCAAAGGAGCGCAGATGTCAGCCACCGTCTATTCAAAAGTCAACTCAACAAGCAAACGTGATTGTGCTCATTTCAGCATATACAATGATGGAGACACTTCTGGAGAGAGAGAGAGAGAGAGAGAGAGAGAGAGAGAGAGAGAGAGAGAGATCATTCCGGAGCGCTTGGCTCTCAGGTTTTCTATAAATAACCGTTTTAGTTCTGCTGTATCACAGATAGAAGCATCGTGGGCTCCTCTCTCATACCCAACTCGACTCCGGGGAGGAGAGGCGAGTGTTGCCAGGCAGAACAGTTAAAGGAGCCCCGTCGCTCAAAAGGCGGCGTCCTTGTGTCTTCGCCGCACCCCCCCCCCCCTGTGTGTCAAGGCCCTGCTTTGGCACGTCAAGCCCGGCATCTTTATCGCGGTGGCAGGCGCAGTTCATCCCTTTTACACGCTTGTCTCCCCAGAAAGCATGATTCAAACGTCTTCGTAATAACCTGATGCCTGAGAAAGCTCTTACCGCGCAGCTTAATTGATTCATTGGAATCCCCCTCCCCCTTTGTTGTCAGTTTCATTTTGCCTGAATTCTGTGTGAACTTTTGTACCGGGATTTGCCCGTTCAGTTGTTTTTCTCTTCTTTTTCTTTTGCTCATACTTTTTCCCCCTCCATCCTTCTCCCCATCTCTGCCGCAGGTTGGAACGAACTCCTTATTGCATCATTTTCGCACCGCTCGATATCGATTAAGGACGGGATCCTGCTGGCGACCGGGCTGCACGTCCACCGCAACAGTGCGCACAGTGCCGGAGTGGGAGCCATCTTTGACAGGTTGTTATTTCAATCATATCAAAACAAATATTTTTAACAAGTGGTTATAAATTGTAACTAATGGCTTTATTAATGGTTAATAACTGATTTATAAATGTTTTACAGGTCAGTAATAATCCCTTAATAAGGACAATTATGTTACCAGATTTGGAAAGATATATTTGGGTTATAACATAGGTTATTAATGGCTTATTACTGATCTATTAACCATTCATAAACCATATGTTAACTATTAAGATATACACCCCTTGGTAAGACTCATCAGAAAGCGATAAGATCATAGGCATGTTTCATAAATTGTAACTAAAGGTTTTGCAAATGCAAATAGATTACTTATAAAAGCTTTAGCAATCAGTAAGTAAGCCTTATTAAAAAGTGGCAACATTGTAGCCATACTTAAGTCACGGGTAATGTTTTGTTCATGTTAATAAATCATGCATTAATGATTTAATCAGTAATACTCCATTATTAATGCCATAATGCTTGCCAGGTTGTGAAACACTTCTGTATGTACTCCCGCAGCATAATTGGCTTTGTCTTTCTAAGTAACCCCAACCATTATTAATACCTTGTTACTGATCTATAAAGTCTTAATAAATCATGTATTAACTACTGATGAAGCATTAGATACAACTTTTATTAGAAGGTGGTTTACAGCACAAGACATCTGAAATATCAACACCTAGACTGGAAGTCACGAAGGAACTATTGATCGATTCCAGTATATTAAATATGTACACCTGTACGCATCAGGGATCTCACAGAAACACCAAACTGCTCAGAAAATCCATGCACAAGCTTCTCACTGTGAAGTCGGGTGTGCGCACAAACTTCAACCCCGGTGACTGTTATCGACATTCCAGCTGTCTGACACGCTGACATCTCACACAAGGGTCTGCTGAGCAGCATCGCACCTTCAGCTGAACCCAGAATGCGTAATTTGGAAAGTTATAAAAGATACAAGCAAAGTATGATATTTTTTTTATAATTTGATGATTTATTTAGAAAATGAAAATTGCAGTTTTAGTGTAAATGGTGCTGCCATCAGACCCATGTTAACAGCAGTCTGTCTCCTCCTCCCCTCTTGTGTCTCGGCCCCTCTGATCTCCGAGCCTCTGTGCCCAATCATCGGCGCTCACAGCCACAGGACATGTTCCATCTCCGGCATTAACCGTGGCGAGCATTAAGATGCAGGGCACTGATAGTGTTTCTGTTTCTCTCTCTCTCTCTCTCTCTCTCTCTCTCTCTCTCTCTCTCTCTCTCTCTCTCTCTCTCTCTCTCTCTCTCTCTCTCTCTCTCTCTCTCTCTCTCTCTCTCTCTCTCTCTCT